CTAACCATTCCAATACAGTCTTTTGATATTTCTTACATGCACTAGCTGGATTTATCTTTATATAAAGTGCATTCAAAGGATCAAGATACTAATATTTATTATTGGAAGGGGGATTAGGATGATGCTAGGTGTTAAGAGAAAATGTAAAGATATGTGTTTATTATGGCATGTAATTGACTAGGACAGAGGCTCCCAGACTGTGTCCTGCTGCAACCTGAAGTGTTAAAAAATTAATGGACTTAATGCAAGCCATTTATAATTAAGTTGGTATTTTTCACTAGTTCTCCAACCTACTTGGTACTCTGTACTTATTAAAGTAGCAGTTGGTTTTGTGCAGCGTCTATGCTGTATCAATTAAATATTGTTTTGATAAAGTCAAGTGAAGTTAATGAGGTATGTCTTCTTGTATAAGTATAAGGTTTCAAAAATGGATTAGATTGTTTAAAAAGTGCTATTTTACAGTGCACAAAGAATGTGGCTTAGAGCAAAATTGAAAAGACGTGGGTGCAGCAACGGTGCTGTGACTCCAAAACGCTTGGGAAACTCTGGACTAGGATATTTGAAATTCATGTACTAGCACCATTGCTGGTAGGAGAGCTGGTCACCCGAAAGCTTTTTCGTTAACCCTCTTGGGGCGTAACCCTCTTGATCTCTCGCCGACTAGCAGTGAATCTGACACTGACGAAAACAATCAGGAAAGTAATGATGTTTACGATAATGTTGTGAATCCTTGGATTAGGATTAGTGGTTCTGAATTGGATAGAGATGATCCCTATGAATTTTTAGAAAAAAATAGAGCCTTTAAATATGCCTCATGGGGTAAGCACCCCATTTGAGTACTTATGCTAATTTGTACACAATATATCATTAAAATGTTTGTGAGAGAGAATAATAATAATAACTAATAAGTATGCAGACAACTTTCTCAGTAACACCCAGCTCAAATAAACCATATTTGGATGCACAATGGTGAAAAGGACCGCTCTGTCTAAAGCAACCGAAAAGTACCCCAAGGGCAGGAAAAGGAGTAGAACTTTGTGCCAGGGGTGTCTCAAGGGCCTCCATGGGCCTTATTTCCCAAAACACATGTGTTAGGATCTATTCATGCTTCATCCATCAAAAAATTGACATAATTTAATAATTTACACAGGTAAATCATGTTTATTCTCAGTCGAAATCGACGAGTCTGTTTACATGCAGGAAAAATCATGTCTGGCGAGTTTTGCCACAACAATGGGTCTTTGGAGGCATTTGTCAGGAGATTAGTGAGTGTTTCATGTTTTG